AAACAATCTCCCCTGAATGAGCATGCTTAGATTTTAAGTAAGTATGGGAGTTTGAGAACCTGGTGTGGCTGAAGATCTGAAAGAGGGGTGCTGTTAAAAACAAATCTTCCTGCTTGGTAGAATCTACCTAGCCAGCATTGCAGGGAGTATTTGCTGAATGAAAGATGTTATCAGCTGTGTAGAATGGGCAATAAAAATATTGGTGACTTAATGTAGTGGAACCTAATTGCCTGTCTGGAGGCAGATGAGTGAGTACAGGAGAAGCAGAATTCCTCTGCAGGAGATGATAAAAGTGAAACCTTGTATTAGCTCATCCTGCAATAGGAAGCATTATTGAATTCCCCAGGTAAACTTTTGATTCAAAGGTGGCTATTACAAACACTGAAACTTGATACAGCTTCCTGGGGAAAACAAAAGAATGCCTTAATGTGATTATAACTTCCAGGAGAAGGTTCTGTGAAATCACAGGAGTATTGCAACTCCAGAAATTTTGTCTTTTCAGATGCACACAGTGAAGGAACAAATGAATTGGCACTCTTAAAATTACTTTGCCTTTTCTGCGATGAGGGCTGCACTGGAATAGTAAATGTTATTACATTGAAAATGTGTTTCAGTTTCTGAAAATGTGCTAGTTGATTACTAATAGCCCTATTTATTCTTGTGAATTATTCCCAAGGTTCAATATGGGTTGGGCCCCATGGTGCTCTGCAGTATGCTGCTCCTAAATTCTTCTGTCAGAGCTTCTAGCTTGAGGCAGCATCGTGATGAATTTCACAAAGGGTTAGAAATGCAAGCTTTTAATAAGTGAGAAAATCTGCATCTGAAGGGCAGCATATTCCTCCTAATATTCAGTGCTGACTACTATTTTTAGTTTGTTTTCAGTATCATCAGCTCATGGTTTTTTTTTTGTTGGTTTTTTTAATACTGCCAGCTTGTGATGCTTATTCTCTTAAAACCTGCATGCTGAAGTTGTATGGTTATGTGAGGGTATCAGCTTTCACTTAACAGAAGAAGCGTTTTTAGGAACCTCATAGCCTCAAACTTAGAAGCATGAGTGTGGGCCCCTACAGCTATAAAGCCGTAAGGAAAAAATATAAGCAGTATTTAAAATCTTTTTATTGTTTGAGTGTTGACTTATAATACTTTGTGTGATAGTTTTGTGTTTTTTTTTTTTTTTTAACTTTATGTGCAGCAAAGCTTTCTGAAATGCAAATGTCTGACTGTATAAAAGTCTTTGGGGACATAAATAGGAGGGTATTTGTAGTTGCATAAGCGATTGACTTATCTTCTACTGATTTCTTCAGAGTACAGAACTTTTCTTTTGGCTCACTGGCAGCCAAGTGGGGTGACTATATTAGTTGCCAACTCAAAGATGTAAGTAGCTTCCTGCTATCTGAGAAAGAGACACAAAGCAGGAAGTCTATCTGACAGGTCCTCTTGTGTTTAGACACAGTCCTGCCCTACAGCTTTGTGGCTTGTAAGAGCAAACAGCAGGAAGAATGTGAATGTTTATATAATGCTTTGTTTTGGTGGTGTAAGTTTTTTGGGAAGGAATAGAAGAAAAGTATTGTTTGCAGGACCATGTTAGCTTTTGGCATTGGAGAGTCGAGGGAAACAAGGTGGCATCTAAGAGCCAGGAGGAATTTTTGACATGGCTAAAGTGAGTCTGCATTTTTTTTTTTAATTATGATTTGGAGTTTTTGTATGAAAGAAGCATCTGTTTTCTGCATTCTTAATAGTCTTTAGAGCATCTACTGCTCAATCTTTCATTATATGGTTTTGTTCCTAATAGAGATGCAAAAATTTGAGCAATTAAAAGTGAAATAATCTTTCTATAAACTGTCAGTGATTTGTAATAAATGAGAGTTGATAGTACTGCTGTGGCAATCAGTAAGAGGGAGAGGAGAATGCAGAGATTACAAGAGAATTTCACGCTCATATCTGGTGATATAAACTGTATACACTGTGGATGGGCTGATGCAGACAGAAGTTAAGAGTGCGTATTGAACCTGGGAAAAATTCATACTCCTTCTTTTGCTATTGGTGATAAAATGGCAGATGAAATTCAGTGATTAAATGCAAAGTTATATATATTTATAGTAGAAGGAATATGCCTTCTATAAAGAATATGCCTTCTATGCAGATGCATTGATAGACTCTAAAATACCAGCAGCGCTCAGGGTGAAAGAGAACCCTTACCTCACGACTTACATCTGTCAGCAAGACATCTAGAGTATAGAATGCTATTAGGAAAGAAAAAGAAGGAAAATGCCATTTTGATAGTGCTTATATGGAAGGAATAATCTTAAATGTCGCATTTCTGGTTGCATCATCTCGGACAGAATATTGTAAACTCAAAGAAGATGTAGAGAAGGATGATATGGAAATAAAAAGAAAACAATTGCTTTCATACGAGGAGGGATGAACTAATTGTAGCCCTTCAATGTGAAGGAGGAGCCAGCTGAATGGTGTGAGGAAAGGAATATTACAGAGGTCCGTGAAATCATGAAGAGAAAGTGAATAGACGAGAGTCATTTCTCCCAATGAAAGAACTGGATGGCACTTGTTGGCACATGAAATCATGGAAAAATTGCTTTTTCTCACCATTGTGGATCTCATTGTGCAGTAATGCTAGGGAGACCAAAATGAGCAGACCATGAATTTGTACAATTTCTCAGAAAACAGGTCCAACAGGGCGTATTAAATGTGAGGTTCAGGTGTGAATGCAGCCTTGTGGAGATCCTGAAGATGTGATTCCTGGAACCTATGAAGAGCGTATCAGTGAAGGATGGTTCCCTCTGTGTCCTGGTGCTTATGCTATGTGCTAAGCATCTCCATCCCTCCTTATGGAGAGAAAAGCAAGACCTAGTTCCAGAATAGGAGAGGTTTTGTGGTGTCCAGAACACTCCCCAACAGAACTGGATTGACTGTGCAGGAGTTGAGTCCTTGGATTCAGAGGGATTTAGGAAAATACTTTATCTGCTCCAGGAACGTATGGCTAAAGTATTCCTTCTGTCTGAAGGTGCTGCCCAGACATGTGAACAGAGGCTAGTGGCCTTCCAACGCTTGTATCCTAACTGATTTATGATTTTTAGATCTAAGGCTCCCAACACTGAGTGAACTTGAAACTGGACTGACAGTCAGTGTAGGGTGCAGAGTAATGACGTCTCTTCAACTAGGGCTTTATTCTTGCATAGAAACTTATTTAGTTTCAGGTTTCAGCAAGATAGGAAGAAAAAAGTCCAGACTTCTTAAGAAATGTCTATGTTGTTCTTGCAGCTATTATTTTTGTGTTGGCTAATCTGCATCTTTCACTGTATGAACCATTGCAGTCTTGGAAACTGTCATGGAAAACCATTCTAGTGAGAATATTGGCTGAAAGAGGGGAGAGCAGCATTGTTCTCTGGTGCACTCACTTGATTACTTTTTATGATGAGAAGAGAGTTCTTGGAACCGCGCCTATTTCCTGTTCAAATATCATTGGCTTTTCATCAGCATCAGGTTTCTGCTAGTCTCTAACCTCAGATTTCTTTCTGTAGTGATTACATACAGGAAGCCTGGTATTCTAAAAACCTAATTAGGCAGCATTAAAGGAGAATATGAAAATCTTCTGTATGTCTTTTATTCCTGAAGAACTGTATTAAAAGAAATTTCAGGAATTTAAATTGGAAATGTTATTAGCGTAATGTGCTACAGGGTTATGTCATCTTGCGCAGAAAGAGGAGTATTCAAGTTGCTACTTGGAATTCAGCACACAGGCTTCACAAACAGCAGTTGTGATCAAAGTTCCAGCCGCTTGCCTTGTAGTGTAGTTGTGTGTTCTTTCAGGTATTTACACGTTATTCTTAAACACGTGAGCTCTGAGAATTTTTCTGTTTTTTTACATACAGGTACCATAAAAATAGAATATTGTTTACATTTCTGTTGCTAATTTGATAGAGGTATGGAATTTTCACAATAGTTAGACACTGAAAAAGGAGAAGGGACGGAGAAAAAGCTTTTTTCTTGGAAGGTTTAGTGGGGTGGATCACTCTATAAATGGAAGACATCTGAATCTTTATCTTAGTAAAGCAGAACATGACCATAAAAAAACCTTTCCTTTTCTCATATTGCTTCCTGTGTTTTGTGGTCTTGGAACTGAATACTCCATAATTGATTGAGGATTATGGCAAGGCAAACTGGGGTCAAGATGAACTTTCCTGTTGGTTGGCAAAATGAGGCTACTAGCCCCTGCAGTTCTGTTAAGTATCAAGCCTTTTGTTTTCCTTCCAAGAAGCTAACTAAGATCCCCCTCGGTAGGGTCCTTTGCCCATCTAGGATCTTGAGACCAGTGTCCAATCAGTGATTTCAACTGTACGTGGTCAGTTGCAGAACACGCTGTAATTAGATTTGCTCTTTTATAAATATTATGGATAGGAACTTTATTTTGTATTTATTAAATAGAGATAGCTACTAGCACAATGAACTTGTGCATTGCAAACTAATGTGTGCCTGTGTCTCAGAGGTATGAGTGTTTTTCTGCAACACCGTATACTAAACCTTATTTTGTACTGATATGCAGAATTAGTGGAATGCTTGAAAAATGGACAGAATAAATGCTTGTGGTGAAGGAAAGGTTGCACAATTGCAATGCAGACATATATTTCCAAGCTATTATGAAGTCATATTTTCACAACATATAGTTAAAATAACTGAAGTTTTGGGGAAAAAACGTAGCAATTGTTAGCCACAAGTTTAGTTTCCAGCTGGATAAATTAGTATTTGATATGACAGTTTGCCTAAGCAGAAGGCTGCATGTGGATAGGGATGCATGCTTATTTTGTTTGACTTATTTTTCATAGAAGCCAGTTAACATATTGGAAGTGAGAAAAAGACTCTTCAGGTTGAATAAGTCTTTTGCGGAGTTTAATTAAAGTATCTTTCCTAGTAATATTTGTAGATATATTTTTAAATGATTTTTTTTTCTTTTACTTTCATGCTTACCATGTAAAATTCTTTCAGAAAGCAAGACTAAACTGTAAGTAAATGAAACGCAAATTCTCCAAGAGTTATTTTGTGCTACACAACTGGGCAACAAAACGAGTTACAAAACTATAGTAGTGAAAGATTACAAATACCAGGAATAAGTGTCTTCATAGAGAAATCCGTATTGTGTATTGGGTGAAACCTGGGCAGTAAGGTTAATTTTCTTAATCTGACTTTCATTCCCCATTGCAGCAGTATATCATGTATATTCTAATTCTGTAATCAGAGTGATAGGCTATATGATAGCCTCTAATGATGTAATTATTTAAAATAATTCCTGGTACTTACTCATCAGCTATTTTCTCCAGTGATTAAACAGAAACAATGTGGGAGTTATGCCAATTTCTTGCCAATTTCTTGGCAAGAAATTCTTTTATGCGGGCGGGCGGGGGTGAATACAAGAGAGAAGCTAATAACAGCAGCACTGGAATTAATGAGCTTTTTTTTATGCTGGATTGCAGATAATAGGTATTGTCTTGGAGGCTTAGGGAAGGAGTTAGCTTAATATACATTGGGAAATGGATTGGAGAAGTGTTCACTGCTGCTGTATGTGATGGTAGGAAGATGAGATAATTTTAGAACTCCTTCCTGTAATAGCCTATTAGTTCAAAAACACTAACAGTAGCGAATCCGTCAGTGGGTGAGCAAGGTAACTAAGATGTAGCTCGCTCTGTTCTATTGAAGCAACGGTCCACAGGTATCCATTGTGGAATCTGAACTGCTACTTAGTTCTTTTATGAATAAAATATATCCAGTAAAGCCTGAATATATTAAATTTAAAAAGGAAAGCAATTTATAGTAGTGCACTTGGTTAGAATAAAAATGTGTATATATTGAGAAGCGATAGTGATATACTGCTGCTGCACGTTTACTTTGTTTGCAGTCAGAAATAATCTTTTACTTTGTATATAATGGTTGATCTGCCATCAACACAGAATCTGTCATGAAGAATACTGAAAATACAAATCAATGTACATGTCATCCTATGTTTAAATAGGGGCTTAAATTGCAGCAGACTCAGGTTAAACATTAGGAAACCTTCTAGCAGTAAGGATAATGAAGTACTGGACTGTATTGCTTGGGGAAGTCATCACTGGAACCTTTGGAACAAGGTACACAAATATTGTCAGGTTTAGTCTGGGTACAGTTTATACCCCCACTCCACCCCCACACTTTGGGTAAGAAAGGAGTTCTCAAAGTCAGTTCTACTGCTATTTTTCTATGGCTCTTTTTCTGTGGGAAAGTGGGAGCACAAGTCATGGGATTGGGTATTTGTTCTGAAAGCTGAAAAAAGACACATGTTGGCAGTTTAAATGACATTTTAAAGCAGCATTCCCTTATTGGTAATAATATCTTAGCTTGCTTCCAGTAAGGATGGAAAATCAATCACACTGAGGTTTGCTTTCAGGTTCTTGTGCTGCTCCTTTTGACATTCAGACAGTTGAGTGAGATTGCTTGTTTTAAATTTAAGTTATAGAAAAAAAAAATGCAGCAACAGTTTTCTTGTTTTGTTTATTTGTTTTTAGTCATAGACTTCATAAGAGCTGCTCTCGTAACTTTTTAGATCAAAATTCCAATTAACTGGATAATTCACTTGAAAAATTCTGAGGCATAGGAGTAGAAAGTAGAAGCAAAGAAAAATTGTTTCACGGATGCTGTTTGAAGCCTGTGGTAGCTAACGCTTCACATCATAAAGTATATGCGGATGATGTGTGAACTTGGTAAACATGGTAGAAACGTTCCACCTAGTTGCTTTAAACTCTTGCCCACAGTGAGAAAAAATTCCTCAATTACTGTCCTCAGTAAATCATTGAGCCTGATTTGTTATACTTGACAATATACCGAAAATGGCAGACTTAAAAAAAGGTGTGTTTTGGTGGGAGGAGTTGGATTTGTGTTCTGACTACTTTATGCTGTTTAAAGAAAGTCTTTCTCATCTATTTCGTCAGAAATTCATAGTCCATCGTCAGCCTCTCTGGGTGACTGCCAGAAGACGTAGAATTGTGGCATCACAACAGATTGGAAGTTGAGCAAGTTCAGGGTAAAAACTTTTAATATAACTATTGACAGCTGCAAGACTAGATTAAATAAAATGTTCAGAACAGTAAAGAGTTCTGTTTTAAACATGAGAAATCTCGGGAAATTCAAGCAGTGTGACTTCAGAAATACAGAACATCAAGGTGTACACACCATTTTGCAATATGGAGGAAGAGAATTTGAATGATGTGAGGAGAGAAGAACATAAGGAGGCTTCCATGTTTAAATATTATGTGCCACTAAGAAGCCAAAAGGCACATTTAATCTGAGTATTAGGATGTCTCTTGCAGATTATCTTTAAACCAAAGTTGATGAAAATAAGTAGGACTGACAGCTTGTATGGAAAATGTTAATGTGGTATATGGGCATTTTGGGGAGCACTGAGTAATTTGAGGCCTGTAATGAAATATTGAATTAGTAAGTGCAGTGATGCTAGCAGCTGCTTCTATATGAAAGGTAGTAAGTAAATGAATAATGTGAATTGGTATGGCATTTTTCTTACCTTGCTTAGTACAGCTTTACAGCAAAAACAAAGTACTATACTATCAGGTGTTTATTTTGGGGGAGAGGGGAGAGATGGGAGAAAAACTCGAATTCTTAATAAGTAGAATTCTTGGTAATGTCTTTATTTTAATTTCTTTAGACTATGTCTGAATGTATCCAGCTCTCATTTGCTGTTTGTAGAATTGGCATTTATACGGTAAGCCAATGTTCTAACTAACTAAATAACTTTTGTTAGTGTTAATGCCATTTTAGTCAAAAGAAGTTGTTTAGGTTTTTGGGATCAGGATTAAACAATGCAGTTAGCAAGAGGGATTTATCATATTAGTTTACATAAACAGACTACAGCATGGTTTATCCTGTCAAAGCTTTACTAATACAAGGACAGAAAAAAGTGTTCTCCCCTCTAATTGAAAAACTGAAGAAAAAGTCAGCCAACTTCTTGTGATAAGGGCACTTGAAATTTCTGTGCATCAATGACTAAGAATTTTGGCCAGTATAATTACTGAAGGTTTTATATACATTTGCTTTTAAATATCCATGATGTTTGAGTAAAGTTGTACATTAAAACACATTACCAATATGCAGACATTGCTGTAACTTTGTCTGGAGTGCCTTGATGCTATTAAATGAAACCTTCCAAACTTCAATTAAGGTATATAAAAGAACTATGAAGGCTGCTTCAGAAACATGTGTCTTAAATATGCTTAGACTTAACAATTTTTTTTTTAACCTTCTTCCCCACTGCTGCTCATATTAATGATGAAAATGGATAGATGAATGGGTGTTTTGCAGAGGCTCTTAGATCAAGCTCTGCTTAGTGTTTCATACACTATAGCTCAGATTATTTCAAATCTTGGAGCTCTTGGAGTGGGAGTGCTGCTCCCACTGTTATACCTTTCAAGAAACCTAGTGTATACTCTTTTTGACAATATCACCTAGTAGAATGGAAAATGGTATGTGAATTCCAAACACCTGTGATGAGGACAATACAACACCAGAATCCCAAAGCTTAAAACTTGCTTTGGTTTTTAGAATTGAGTTCTAGGCAAGATTTAATACCTGCATGAGGTTGTTACGATATTTGCCCATGTTCTGTTGCCAGCAGCTAAACATCTTACAAAAATATAGATCCTAACAAATTTGGATAGTATGGACAAAATCCTTAAAAAGGAAATTGCTACTTGCAAAGTCAAAAGCATGTTTTCCTGTGGTATTTAACTTCCTTAGTAAAGCTTTTTCTCTCTAAATTCCTATGTGATATGAGCATGCTTATCTTAAAGGATCAGAGAAGGTTGCAGTATGAGGTTTTAAGGGCTGCAAGGTATGCAAACCATCTGCTAGCTCTCTAAAAGTCTGTATTAATATGCCAAAATTGATTTGAAGATATTCAAGTGTGTATCTGTGTATACTGCAGAATCGGGTGAAATGTGTATAAGCAGGTATGCTGTATGGCAAAATACTTCCTCTGTCAGTGATTTATTTTAAACTAAAATAGAACCAATTATTATGTTGTTTATATTGCATTTCACTGTTAAGTTGTGATAGCTGCAGTTGTAGTGATGGCTGGGTGATTGACGTCTGGCTGTGCCCTGTTGGGTAGCGTTATCTTTAATTTCATCAAGCAGTTTTAATTACAAAATATGAAGAGCTAGCTTTATTCATGGAAGTAATGAGAGGAACTAATTTCCCTGGCTGCTGAGACTACGATGGAGGAACCGGAGAGGAGGCTGATGAACAGACTTAAGAGCATTCAGAGATACGCTGTGGTGGTAACAGTGTGAGGAGAAGACCTACATCGCATATCAAGTGGACGTGAATGCTCAAATAGTTGTTTTGGGAAGTGTTGGATTGCAAGAGTACTTTCCTATATAGAAATGTCTGTCATTAGAAAGCAGGTTTCCAATGATCTGATTGGAGAGTGGGTTTGAACAGGTTTGGTATCAGCTGAGGGAGAGGCCTGCTAAAGTGGGCGCTATGAGGAAATGAAGTGCAGTAGTTGCCCTCTGCATGCTCTGTCCTGCTGTTTCTCAGTCCTGTAAAGAGTCTCTTGTCCCTGAATTTGCCACTTAGCTATGCGGCAGTCTGGCAGCTAGCAGGCATAGCGTTCCGTATTGATGGTCAAGAAACAAACCTCAAAACTCCAACACACATTCCCCATTTAATCAGTTCCGCCATATCTTGTATCATGTGCTTTCTACTGTATGCTATTTTTCAGTTTTAAGTGTTTTTTTTTTTAATTTATTTTATCCAAAAGCTAAGCAGTCTCTGAAGTGCTAGTCTTTAGCAGCACTAGGTATTCAATTTGTGCTGTATTGTTTGGATGCTTCCTGTTCTGCATATCCTCATTGCACAGCAGCCGCAAGTATCTTGCATAGACTTTGTTAGTTCTTTGGACTACAGAAATCTCAATTGTTAGTTTGTTATCAAGCTGCTTATCAGTAACACTCAAGCACCCATTACTTTAGCTGCACTGTTGTGTTAAATAGGCTTCCTGTTTTTCAGGCCTGTGTGGACTATAAGGTGGAAGAAGGGTTTATATAGATACCTGTGGCAAAAGAGCCTGGACCACCATCTGCTACCTCTTTCACTGGCTAATATCTTACCATGCCTAAGACTAGAAAGGTTCATTGTCTTGAGCTGGGAAAAACAGAAGTCTTTAAGACTGAGAAAAGAGATGTGCTACCCATTTGAGGGGATAAAACCAGATGAGGTTATTTGGAAGCATATCCCCAAGTCAAGAGGGAAGTAGAAAAGTAGAGGTGGTTAGTATAAAAACTGCATAGGTATTTTTAAGGATCTGAAGCTGAACTATGTATATCCTAACAGTGAAAACGCTGTCATAAACCTAAATAGAAACTTTTGGGATTTAAAAAAAAAAAAAAATCCATTTCCTGTGTCTCTGTTACACAGCTAGTGCCTTCTGGCAGAAATACCATCCTTCTCATACTGATTATTTCTGCTGCTTCTACCCTACTAGTGTCCGAGTAAGATGTATCAATTTGTCTGAAATATGGGAAAAGGTGGAGAAATCACTACTTTAGTGTGCTTGGTCATGGAGGTTGCAAGCATGTGAGAACGCATAGCAAGGCTCGACAGGAGATTTTGCTGTTATCATTAACTTCTTTTTTTTGTTCCTAATTTAACTCTTTTTTTTTTTCTTTTCCTACTAGCTTAAAGTAATAATGAAATAACAGTGGAGAGTTTAACGTATGTGAACTTCAGAGGAAAAATAATCTGAAGTTTGTTGTCTTTCTTGTAAGACAGTTTTGTCAATGAGATATTTGCTAGTTTTATAGCAATTCAGGACTCCACCTCCAAAATATCGTGCGTGGTTATATGCTAACACATCTCTGGAAAGTTCTCTGATGCTCTGTATTAGGATTTCAGAATTTTTTCTTCTAAACTATTTGCATATAGTAATAAGCCTTTGTGAGGTAGGGTAATCTCTGTAATACCCATCCCCCAAATGTGACTTCAGGAGTAAGCAGAAAGACTAGTAACTTTTGTCTTGCTTATTCTTTTGGTAGGCAGGCTGTTAAAGCAAGGACAGAAGCTGCTGCAGCGGTAAGAACCATGCAGAAAAACTAGGGAGGCCTAGTGGAAGTATGCGTTCTTGGCTGGTTTGCATTAAGAAGAAAAATTATGGGGAAAAAGCATTTTCCCATGTCAAGAAATTAGAAAGTAACTGTTTTCCTTGATCAATGTATAGCATCAATAGCTAGATAGACAACCGTAAAACACTTCTGTGAAAACAAAACAGTATGGACTACAAAAAAACCCTCTGTATAGCTTTCTACTTAAATGCTGGGTATAGCAAAACTAATGCCCTCTAGCAGCATTGCATTGATGTTGGCATCTTCTTCCTGAAAGTGATGAGTAATGAATATTTGGTATGAGCAGATGCTTGGCTTGAATTTGCACAATGAGATGGAGAAGTAAATGATGTATTTAAAAGCTGTACTTATTACAGTTTATATTTTGTAAGTATAGTGAATGATGCAAATGTGTGCTTTTAGTTCTCTGGTTTACTTTGGATTAACTTACATTTGTCTTTGTTTATAATGATAAATTCGTGTTTTAAATTGGTTTGACTGGAAACAGCTGGTGTGCTAAGGAATTTATCTAATGTTAGGACAAAATGGAATTAACGTTTATTCATGGAGCGTTAGAGGGGAAGCTCTTAAGAGAAGCCAGTTAAGGTGGTAACTAAAGGTTATCATGGGTTAGAAGGTAATCGTGGGAGCAAATTTGGAAAGGTTCAGGAGCAAGCTTGTGACTTACAGTATGGAAAGCTTCCTGTGAGACTGTCCCATCCCTGTCGTGGTTTCCTATTGGAAAATGCAAAGTTAAAGTAATAACAGAGCTCATATAGCATATCCTGTCTACTCCTCCCTTTCCCATGTCGTGTCCTTGACATGAGCAGCAAAACAAAGGCACAAAAAGGCAGCAGGAAAAATCCTTTTATGCACCACCCTTTGGGAAATGTGGACAGTTCCATTCATAAACACTGTTGATAGTATCTGAGTAGACTGCTAGAAAGGTACAAATGTTTTTGACTTCCAGCCTTAAATAAAATGCTCTTGCTATGCCCAAACTCTTGCCAGTGACCTGTGTCTGATGACATGGTGGTAGGAAATCACTCTTGTCCGCCTGGCGCTAGAAAGTATGCGTTTTACTTTCTTTGCAGTGTTCAGTTTGCTGCTGCCAATGTGGAGCTGAGCTGTGTGTGTGCTCGCTTTTTTGTGTGGTGGTGGTGTGATGTTTTGGTGGTTTTTTTTTTTTTTTTTTTCTCCCCTCGAGACCAACCTAAATAGTAGAATGGACAGGAGTAAATGTTTTGATACATAGGAACACTTAAATATATTATGGATTTTCAGGTGTAAACTTTCCCTTATACTTTTCTGAAAGGAAGAAAGAATTGTGACCTTTTTCAAATGGAGGAAATTAAGACAGGTGAAGTGGGAAATCATCAAGGCTGGGCTAGGAATGAGGATGAGAACCCAATTCCCTCCCCTTTCTCTCCATAGTTTATTACAAGTAAACTGTATTTGATTTGCTGAGCAGCCTCTCCCTGTGGCCAGAGCTCACCTTATCTGCTCAAGAGCTCAGCAACTTGGCCCAACTAATGCTGGTGCAACAGCGTTGCTTCCCTGAGCTATTAACTGATATACTTACACACCTCTGACAACTAGTAAT